TTTAAAGGCCTTTGCTTACACGTGGAGTACCTATTACAATTTGAGTTCTCAGCAGAGCTCTATATTTGATAATGATTCCTAAGGACATTTGTCAGAACTCCTCGGACGAAAATACTAAATGAAGTTGCAGAGATAGTATCGAGTATAAGAGTCTCCCCTCTTAATCGCTCATATCCACTATTTAAGAAGTGGTGATTAGCCCATAAGGCTTTTAATGCAAATACTCCTTGGATAAAACATCTCACGTTCTCTTTTACATAAATCTGAATAATCGTGGGTCACGGAACAAGCTGTGATAGCAGACATATCTAAAGTTCATGTTGTGCCTTGAGAGATGTTTAACTAAACCAACCAGTCTGGATGAAATCAGCAAAAAGAGAGGATTTGGGAGGAAGGTTATAACTGCAGCTAAAGTGTGAAGATGTGCACCCCTACCCTCCACAGACCTTCATTTCATTAATGATTCACACGAATGAGCAGAATCAACTTGCCCGTATGACATTTGCCAGCAAAGAGTTGTGCACCCTTTAGCACCCTGGCTACCTCTGCTGAAATTGCCTTTTGTAGACAACAATGCAAGCCCGTGTGTGTGTGTGCGCGCGTTCCTGAGATGATGAAGCTGTGTCAATGCCATCTGTGGGTTGTCTGGATGAACCTGCAGACTTTATCTCTCGCTGCCAGAGATAAGTCTGACATGTGCCACAGAAAGCGGTCAGTGGCTTGACATGCCTTCTGGTCTTGAAGGTGTGTAATTTCCTGAAAGAAATGACTGGTTTGAAACATTTTCTGCTAGTACTGAGTGTTGTCACATTCAGAGTTGCACTGGACTGACCTTAGCAGGATCTAGATTCTCTACGTCCATCTGCTCTTTCATAACGTCCACTGAGCAGCAGAAATGCTAATATCAGTGGTTAAAATGTGCTTTCGTCAGCTACTTTGGTCTCTACTCATTCCTGCAGAAAATATCTGTAAATGTGTGGCTGCAGCTTACTCACTGTTGTTAACTTTGACTGTGAATTATCCCCCGTCTAGGAGATGTCTGTGAGATGGGTGATAATTCTCTGTAGGTTTGTTCCTTTTTGTTGACTTGGAGGCATCAAATGAGCCCATAAACACAACGCTGAAATTTCTTTAGCAAGCAGCAACCTCAGACTGAAAATGTACTTAGCACCGAGGTGTCAAAAATAGCAAATTTTGGAGTGGCCACTTAAGGCTACAAAATATTTTCAGTCCCTGTGAATCCCATTAAAATTATAGAAAGGGGATGACCTGTTTAAAGTCGCAGGACATCGCAAAAAAAAGTATTTTCCTCAGTTTTCAGGAGGATTTTAGGCCTTAAAGTTATCCACAACTTATAGTCAAGGTCGACGACTTTAAATACCTGGAGCCAACAATATGAAAGCAACAAACATTGCACAAGAAAGGTGAAGAAGAGTGTCAAGGGTGATTTGTGACAGGATACAAGCAAGAGTGAAAGGGAAGGCTTGCGATATGTTATTGAGATTTGCTATGATGGATGGTTTGGAGGTGGCGGTGCTGAGCAAAAGACAGGAGGTGAGGATGCTCAGATTTTTGTTGGGAGTGACCAAAATGAACAGGATCAGAACATAAGAAGGACACCTCAGGGTGAACGACTAGGAGACAATGTTAGAGAAGAAAGGCTGAGATGGTTTGGACATGTGCAGAGGAGGGACAGTGGCTATATTGATGCTGAATATAGAGCTGGCAGACAGGAGGAAAAGAGGAAGACTAGAAAGGAGATTCATGGATGTAGGGAAGGAGGACATGTAGAGGTGGTGGTGTGACAGAAGAGGATGCAATAGGGTGAGATGGAGGCAGATGATCTGTTGTGGTGGCCCTTAAAGGGACCGGCTGAAGGAGGACAATCATCATCCACATCATCCCCTTTAGCGATGCAGTAAGAGACTTTATAACTTCTAATGTAAAAACAGTCATTATTAGTGCAGCTTTAAGAAAAGCTCTTGGCACCATATTATTAGTGGACTAACAGCAAAGCCACAAACCAAGTGTCCGTGAATCCAGTGGGGCATAAGTGGGACAGAAGATAGCCACTACTACTACTAGCTAGTTGGCCTGAAAGCAGATTTCCTTGGCGTTAGTACAGAAGCATTACATTCAAGCTACCGTACATGAAAGAGATGCGGCAGCTGGCGCAGATGTTCATAGCGGTTCAGTTCAGACAACACGGTCGTCAGTGGGGTCATCACCGAGTGAGGAAAGCCCCTGAGGTACCATGTGCGCATCTCAAACAGAGAATGAGTAAGTGAACACTTGAGAAAAGCCACATCTGACTATCAACTACCAACTTCCCCTTCTAATGTTTATGAGGCATATTGTTATAATGAATTATTAAATCAGGTAAAGCCAATGAGGTGGAACAAGCAATTACAAACTCAATCAAAAAGACGCTCAAATCTCAATCTGCACATTTGCATTAAAACAGGTTAGCAGCTGTACGTCATAACAGCGCTCTCTGGTATTCAATTTAATGGACCTGACTTTATTGTCCCACGTGGGCACATTTGTTCTGTAGGGCAAGGTTTAGAAGACAGCTTTGAAGAGGTTTTCAATATCCTTGAAAGTATCATGCCTTTGCTCTTTGTTTCCATCATTAGGCTAATGAGGCCTCTCATAACAAGATGATGATTTGAAGATGTAAAGAAAAAATATTCTTCCCCTGGAAAGCAATTTTCAGTAATGGCTGAGGGAAATAAATAAATAAAACTCTAATTATTAACAGAAAAAAATCTGTGTCAGTTTAAGGTGTTCAAAGCGGTCTCGTGTGTTGTTGGCAGGGCACAACCTCAGGTCCAAAACAGTTGTGAAGCTGCGTAACTTGTAAATAAATACAGAATGCAACTGTGACTATAATAAGGCCATTTTTTATTCCCAAGAGAACATAGAAATTCAATATTTTGTGAAAACGAAGAGCTCAAGTCTAATTAGGTTTAGAAGCAAGACTGAATATAAAAAGAGCATCAAAGAAATAGCCTCTAAAAATATTGGAATGAATTTAGAATAATGTTTTATCACTATGAGAAGAATTTTATTTAATCATTTATGTTACAATAACATCAAAATATTCAGAAAATTGGAAGAAATCTCTGTGTGCAAGGGACAAGGCCACCGTTCACCCTGCTATCCACACATGCAGGCAGGGACCGCTGGTATGAATGGGCTGACAGGGCTAAGCCCTCCTATCTTTTTCAATAAAAAATAAATATATTTATATAAATTTCAAATAATCTTAGAACAGATTACTTAAACGCTGGTGTAACGAAGTGCAGCAACAACACCAAATAGTCAAAAGAAACCCCCCCCGGATTTAGCTACATTGGCTTATTGACTATGTGCACGTTAGCATATGCTACTTCCGGTGCGGAAACTCCTGTGGGGAGCTTTGTTTCCGGTGTCCTATTCGCGCCCTGTTTACTGTCTAAAACAAGTTAAGCAAATGAATGAATCAAGCGGCGATTTACATGTCTATAGATGTCTCGGGCATTTACCCAATATATCTGTAAATGATGTTCATCGACTTGTCGATATTTTTCCCCCGCGCCTCAGAGAAAAAGAGAAAAGGGATTCAAATGTTATATTTCTCAGCTGTTATGTTCTAAAAATAACCAGTGATAGGTGAAATCAAGTAGCCAATTTTAATTTTTTGACAGTGCAAAACGTTTCCTGGACATCGTGGACATACAGTACTGCACTTCAGAGTCACACTGCAGCGATTCTGTACTGTACAGGAGAGACGTCACGGAGGAGATCGTCTGCAGCGATCAGGACGCAGGACACAATGTGATGTAAAAAAAAGCATGCAAACTTGCACTAAAAAAATCTGTGAAACAGCGAGGTGAAAGGTGAACCGCGTTATAGTGAGGGACCGCTGTAATTTTGAAGGTAAGTCACAACATACCCTTCGTACATACTAATGTATAGAAACCCTTACCAGCAATCATTCATTTTTTGTGTGGCTTTTTTCACGGTTTGTTAACATGCTGTGTAGGTGTGTACTTGACTAGCTGATATCGACATAACAGGGAAACATCTGGTTTGACTATTCTTCACCTGTAGTTTGAATGCTGAACATTGGCCTGTTTAGATCATGAGACCAGTCACTATACAGAGATGTGCTTCTGCATGTGGACGATGTGTCTTCTGCTGCAGTGATGCAGTTCTGCTTGTGTTGAGTGATGTAAACAACTGATCGATCTAAACGCTTTAAACGTCAAAATTGATCATTAGATTTTTTATGACACAGCAGTGGTGAGTGTTCCCACCTTCTGCTCTTTGTAACTTAACGCAATCTTTCCGTTTTCGAGTTTTGGACATGATTTTGGAGTATATCTTCGCAGTAGCAATTGACCGCAAAGTAAAGCTACCGGAAATGCACAACCCCACATCCGGTCTCAAACCAGGAAGTTGGCATTGTGTTTTTTTTTTTTTTAAATACGTTTTATTGACAAAGCACAAAATACAGATATACAAATACAAAATAGCAAACACAATGTCAGGGGGTTCGTATAAAAAAGCAAAATAGACAGTGATATTGAACAGGGAACATAGGTTTATGGTTTTGACAGCTTTTTGATTTTGAGAATGTTGTATGGTTTTAACATATTGTTTGGTTTCATTTAAAAAGTACCGAAAGGATGGTTTTGCGTTAGAAAATTTCGACTTATGTATATGAAATTTAGCCAATAATATCAATAAATTAATCAAATAAAATTCGTTTACCCTGTGCATGGGGTACTTAAAGAAACCGAACAATATTTTCTCGTAACAAGGAGAGAACTCAGAAAAGATAAAGGAAACAACAAAAACACAAAATTCAGGAAGTTAGCATTGTCTCGTGCACATAGTCAATTCTCAAAGCATATGCACCGCAGCATCAGCTACCATTCATCTTCATGGAGTAGTGAGTGACAGGCGTCAGGTCACGGCCCCTTAATTTGCTGTTCAGCCCAGAGGCGGGAATTTTGGCGAACGAGTGACGGGAAGCGAAATCAATATGGCGGCAGCGACGAGCGTTAGCATAACCGAAGTGGATTATTTACTTAGTTGTATATTTTCTTCTATATCTTTGGACGAAAAGGTTAAGAGACTGGGACCACATCATCGAAACGATGTTCAAATAACACAAACGACAGAATCGTAAAGTTTGTGTTATGTGGTTTCAACGAAAGGACTAGCTAACGGAAAGCAGGAATTCACTTTACTGTGTCCCATGCCTGCTTTTTGGAGGAGACACAGCTTGAATTCAACAAGGAATTGTGGATTTGAAGCATTTATCTGACAAAATTAGGAAACACGAATGAAGCACAAGTCACATTGGAAATAGGGTAAAGTTAACATCGCCTGCCACCTGGATGAAGGACGCCGCATTGCTTTAGACTCTAAAGCACTTGGTGTCGTTTGACTTCAACGACAGGGTGATTAACATGTTTGCATCCCAGAAAACTCGATGTTGTGATCTTCACTTTAAATAAGGTAAGCCGACCCCCTCTCCCCTTAAAATAGGGTAACATACTTCTTTCCTGTTGCCTCTTACTCATCTTTAAAGATCAATATTTTCCTGCTGTAGATACCAACTCCTTTTGTTGGTGATGTGTCATTTAAGTCAGTATGTTGTAAAATAGTTGTGACATTGTAATTGTAGTCTATTGGCAGATTTTACATTTTTAAGTACATCCCTGGCAAATTCAACAGAATTTGAATAGATTTTCCTGGCATTCTGCTCATTCAGCCATCATTCCATCCTTCTTGCATATTTTGTTTTTCTAAAAACAAAAAAAGGGCTAATGTGCACAGAAACAACCTAGTCAAAAGGTGTGTGAGAGTGTGTGTGCCTGGGAATATGGGTATTCCTCTATATAGTTTTGTTAGTGTTGCTTTGACAAGGTCTTGTGGCTCTAAAGTGGCATCAAGGATGTGATGTCAATATATATATAAAATAATATATTATTTTACAGTAATCAGGCTATATTTCACAAATGCAGTAACATCTGCAAACAGCAGTTCTGGGCGCTTGTGGTAGTTTATTTGACCTGTAAATTTACAGGTGCATTGTGGGATTTCTAACAGTTGTGACTGGAGGCATTTCCAGTGGCAGGAAGTGACTTATTTGGTTCAAATGTTATTTCAATATTTTACTCATGTTTTTCTCTCTTCTCAAAATGAAAGAAATCAGAAGAATAGTGTTTCTGTTGGTCTGAATAAATGATAGCTTCATGCAACTGCGTTTATGGAGACGCTTGTTTATCTTCCCCTCAACTTGTAATTTCAGTGGCTGTTTGAGATTGAAAAACTCCACTGTGCATGGGGAGGAACTACTGAGGAGTGGAGGAGAGACAGGTGAGCTATTTTATTCATAAAATGTTGTGTGAACAAACAAAAAAAACCACAGAAAGCAGATGTTGTGGCATAAGAACAGAACAGGGAGAATAATCCCAGCTGTTGTTTCCCACACCAGCAGCACTAAGCATGTTGTGTTTGGGCCACACAGTTTAGTTAACTGCTCTGCACTGCAGAGCTGCTTACTTCATGCTTTTCCTAATTTGACCAGCTACACGGTCAGCAATCTAGGAGCCGTCTTTGATGTGGAGTTTTACAGGGATTCATCCCATGTGAATGCATAAATCTTGGAAGAATGCACTTTGATGCATTGTTTCTGTATTTTTCGTCTTTAAACGAGTCTTCTTCCATGCACGGGTTTGATAACCACCGTCAGAGGACACAGTGACAAAGTTTTGCTTCCGGGCGGGGGCATGGCCTCTATTGGACAGAGGGGGTTGTTCCATTTCAAATCAACCAAGCCTTCTGCTTGACCATCGATTTGCATAAATAATTTTGAACATTTATGATTGCTGTGAAATTTTGGCTTCATATATCAAATAGTTTTCAAGATAGATTATTTTGAAAAGTTGTTTATTGACACACTTCCTGTTTTTCACACATTGAAATCTGAGGCAATGCTCGAACACGAATATTTGAGAAACTATTAAAGATAAAAGCCTGAACATTTCACTGGTCTCTCTCACCATCAACGAGAATCAGGATCTGTAATTTGGGACAGACACTACAAAAAAAATGTCTCAGTACTGGCTAGTTAAAAGATGGAAAAGTTCCATATTTGATCACACACTGATTAAAAAAAATGTTTAAGTGTTGAGATGATCCAGAAGTGTGCCACAGCAGCAGCTTTTCAACCAAAACACACCACCTGGGAGCCTGTGACTCACTGTACCCACTGAGACTGTGTACACTCTGTAATTAGTGTATTTTAAAGGCTCGTTATTGGTCATGCTGTGATAGTCAGTAGTGTGTATGAACAGATCTGTGTGTTTGAACCTTCTATGTGAATTTATTTGTACACAAAAAAGACAAAAAACCTTAAGTAAGAAGCAGTGAGATCTTAAATCAGTTAAATTAAATTCTTAGCACATGAAAATTACAGTAATTTAAAAAAAAAAACAGAAAAGTGCAACAAAAAAACCACTTCCTGGATGTAATCACTTATGGGTGTCTTCTTATAATTGCAGTGTTTCGCAGCTTGGGCTGATGGATCCAGGTAAAAGTCTCATCGAGATTTAATTTTCCAAGAGAGACCTGGCCGTCATGGAAGCAAAGGTTACAACAAATACAACATACCAACAGAAGAAGCGAGCACAATTTAAAGCAAAAGTACGTTTCCAGTTTTACTGGGAAACTTGTGAGTATTTTTCAAAGATCAACCCCACACTGCTCTCAGGGACTATTTGTGTAGTTGTGGAAAAGTTGTGACACTGAACTGGTAACATTTACAACTGATCCTGATAATTATTGTCACTAATGTTTATATTGCTATTTTGAATAATCTCATCAATGTTTATAAAGCATGCTTTTATCCTATGTTTCTTTTACTCTTACTGCATTGTGGGTTTCAAATGATAAAGCCTTCCCTGTCTGCTTAGACTTGAATCTGCTGTAGTCACTGTTTTATCTGTAGGGTAGGTGTGCAGAGAACTTAATGTGTGCCCAGCCTAACCCTCCTTTACCTTTTTGTGCTCCCAAATCCATACGCTGGTAACACTTACATCTCTTTTAAAAACCTGCAGCCGACTCCTTGGACCTGGGGAGCGTTTCGTGTCAACACGTCTAAGAAAAGAGACAGTGCAATGCTGCAGTGTTTCATTCTTCACTGTATTCACTTGCTTCTTTCTTCAAAATGTTGGTATCGCAGTCTCTGTTGCTTGTTGAAGTATTTTGTGCATGAATGCTGACAGATTTTGGTACCTGCTCAAAGAAGCTTTCAACATGGTTTTTGCTCTTTGTTCTGTTGGCCACAAACTTATTGAGTAACATAGTTGGTTTAAAATCTTGATTTTATTTATGTTAAAAAAAACCCAGAAACCACCCCCCCAGCTTGATTAAAGCAAGTTACTTATATTAGCTATTCAGATCACCCAATAGTGCTCATAAACATCACCAGGACTCTAACCACAAGAAAGATAAACTACCTAAGCCAAGGAGGTGACGACATGTCAAAGCACGTGTTTCCTGCCAAGGCATGAACAAGTACACCTACCTTCTGCATCTTCCACCAAAGTTGATTGTTACTGCCTGAATCCATAGGGTGACCTGAGCCTGAGAAGTGGTGCTAGAGCACAGCCACAGGGGGGATACAACAGGAGGATGGTTTGTAGGTTCCAGTTCCATCTTCAGCTTCTTAGACTTCCTCCAAGATAAAGATCTTCTGACTCGCTTTGTTCTTCTGAGTGGGGGGTTGTGATATTACCCCCACTGTTCTGGCGTCCTGACTCCTCCTTGCCGTAGCATATGTAGCACTTTCTAGGTCTAGGACCCTACTGGATACAGACACCCCAGGCAGGAATCGAACTTGTGACTCCCACTACAAAGATGTGTAGTCTTACCACTACACTATCCAGCTGCTGTCCATGAATGTATCTATGGTCCCTCCTAAAGTCCAAGGGCCCTGACGTCAAAATTTTAGACCCCCCCCTTTATGTAAGCACATACACCCAGGCTTTCTGCTGTGTAGCTCAGGGCAAGAGACCAAAAATGACCAGTAAAGTCTTCCTTGCAGGATCCAATAAAGAGCAGTCATGTCGGAGGTGATGTGATGACATCTGATAAACAAGAAGTCAAGCTGCTGCTGTTTGAACTAGCTCAAGGTGATATACTTGTTTTATAGTGCTATGCTCTCACTTGTATTCTGTATGCTGCTTTTGCTTCAGCTTATTTTTTTTTACCATCTCATCTTCCCAAGGTCAAAACTACTCGAGGCTGAAATTGAAATTGTCACAATATTTTAAGTATTACTATTCGAAATGTAATTTGAAACGCACGTTGAAAAGCTTGTATCCAACCTGAACTTTAAATTAGGTTTCTTTTTAAAGAATAAATGACAGGAATGCATGGATCTGGACTGCTTTTTATTAATGGGTCAGGCTGCTGCTGCTGCTAGTGTTGTAATGTTATCCTGGCACACTCTGGGCATCACAGCCTAGCTGAGTACTGTTGCTGACCACGGTGAACATCTTCTGACAGCTGCTTCCAGCAGGACAACGAACAATGTCATAAAACTGAAACTGTCTCATGAACATGGCAATGTTCACGACAGTGTACTCAAATGTGCGCCACAGTCACCAGATCTTTTGGTAAGTAACTACAAACGATTATGAGGCTGCAAAATGAATACAAATGGGTTCAAAGAGACAAAATGAGCACAGATGGAAAAACAGTGCAAAGTAACACAAAATGAAACAAAGAGACTTAATAACCTTAAAGAGATGCACAACAACAGCAAGGCTAAAAACTCATTTCATCTTTTAGTCTAGGTGAATTCTCTCCTGTTGTCCCAAAACTCAAGACATACTCTGGCACCTCAACAAAGACTCGAGCGTGGCTCTCATGCGGAGATGCCCGGCATTACTATGTGGCAATGACTTGCAATTTTTGCAATTGCATTTTTTTTCTTGCTGTGATCAACACAGAAGATATAAAAAAACATGCTAATTAACGACTTTCATGTAGTTTCTCACCCAGTTTGTGAGGTTAAAAGGAACCCTGGTGCTTTTGTCCAGCTCAGTTTGGTGAAAACCAGAGCGACTGGTCTGCACCACCACCAAGTTTGCACTTAGAGTTGGCAGTGATTTTGAAATTAATTCTACAATTAGTTTTTCAAAACGGTGTTTTGCACACTAATCTGTCAAATGGAGATTGTTGTCATCACATGTAGGCGACCTAATGGTCTTTGTTAGTCTTCCTGGACCTGGTAACTCCAGCAAAGAGCGTCTGAGCCAGACGGATCCAATATAAGCTGCTTGACATCTCTGGCCACTTCATGACTTTTTAATGTCTTCTATTCCGTTTCTATTTTATAATTCAGGAACACAGCAGTACACTAAAGGGAGGTGTCATTAAGGTGTTCAGTTTGTAGGACGACTGGCTTTTGACTCCATCTACTGGTCATTTGCTTGGCTCTCATGTTTATATGTATATACTGTATTTCCAGGAAGTGAAGGAAATAAAAGAAATATGCAGTAACGATATGCAAATCGGAAGTCACTTCAAAGGAGAGCGCGTGGAGTAGGCAGAATAAAAAATCAAAAATAATGTCCGGTCCTGGCGAGCGAGACCAAAGACTTGAGTGTGCTCTCATACTGAGCAGTCTGCCTTTCCTCAGGTGACACTTCTGCATTCTCACAGCAGACATCACAGAGGAAACGCAGCAGTTCTCTTCCCCCTTTGCTGTGCTGCCGCGTGCCCTGCTCCACCCGCCAACGCACCATCAAAAATTCAACAAGCATGGCATGGAACCAAAAGTGGAACATGGCTCGTGGTGAGGGGGGAAAGGCACGGAGGAAGAGATTAGCACTGGAGAGGTGGGGAAGGGGGTCTTACAGTCAGAGTAATGTATTAACAAAACCCCGCGGTGAGCAAAGCCGGTGACATGTGGGGAGGTTTTTTTTCCCCCCTCACAGACATCAGTGGAAACTAGTAGGAGTTCAATTACAAAGAGTCTTACAGGAGCACTCATTACCTCCTCCAAAAATCCAGAGGTGAAGCAAATTACTGCCTCAAGAAAGGAAATGTATTAATGCAGATACCATTACAGCTCTGATTTAAACCATGTGAAGCACTTAAAAGCATCAGACACTGCTCCTGTAACACCTGACTGACATTTCCTGGAAAAGTATCAACACAAAAGATGCATTTCATAGATCTGAGAATGAAGTGCTCGTGAGTCAGTGGCTTTTAGACACGAAAAAAAAAAAAAAAAGCAGTGCTGCCCTTTCATTTAAAGCAGGGGTGTCAAACTCAAATACACAGTGGGCCAAAATTCAAAACTGGAACAAAGTCGTGGGCTGACAATATTTATTGAAATATATTTATTCCTCCAGATATAAGAATGAATCTTTTCTTATGGACTCAAACACGTTTTGCTGAAAAACTGAATATGGAACAAGCAAAGCTTAATACTAAACAATATATATATTAGCTGTATAATACCAGTAGGCCAGCTCTGATAGTAATTTGGTATGGCTTCGCGGGCCAAATGTAATCTATGATTTAAAGGGTAAAAAAAAAGGGCTTCGTTTCTTAAACTGGATCCAATTGTGAACCAGTCCGTCTAGAGGCAGGTCTAGACACCAAAGACAGCAGAAATGACATCCCTCCATCAAGTCCTGCTGGCATCTTGGGGTCTTGAAACAAGATATGAAATATCGGCGACTGAACCCATAAAGTCATCTGGAAACTGTTTAAAGATTTTAGAGCTGAGGGATATTTTCCCATGGACTTCTAGTAAGCTGCCTCATGTGACATTATGTGGACATTGGATGGAGGATACAATGAAAGCTGTTTAACAGGGAATCACTGAGCGATCTGTAGGCCTGGATTACTGGGACATTAGCAATCAGTTTCCCAGCTACCACTCATAACCAGTTGGGGAAAACTCACTTTTTCTCTCAGGACTGGTGGTTGTGATTTACAACAAAACTCCTAAAGCTCATGGAACAGGTAGCCTACCTTTAAGCTGTGTAAAATGAACAGACTCGAGCTTTATTTTTTAAAACTTCATGGCAATAGTTTTATTAAGTTACGAAATCAACACATTTAAGAAATTTAACTATATACATTGGTTCTAATGTGTGGATTAAAAAAAAGACAAAGAAGCTTGACACATCAAGCTAATACATCATACAGACGCTGAATTTCACATAGTCATAAATAATGATCAAATTATAATTACAAGCTTATATCATCCTCATGAGGGAGGGGATGATTTTAAGAAAAATCTCCCAGGATTTATTTGTTCGTGTCAAGAATGAAGAACACGTCACTGAATTCCTCTTAAATATCGCGAAGCTGCGCTATAAATTACATCAAGCATACCCACCATGTGTTCCATGGGAAACAGAGAAAAAGGCAATGGTTTAAGAAATCATTTCTCATGAACGACTGGTAAGCCTTAAAATAAACTTTGAAGCGGTTTCAGTAAGGTCATTTACAACAGGTAAGAGAGGCAGGGTTTTACCCATAAAGCAATCAAATAATGCTAGCATTTGCTAATTTGTTCAAAATGTACAGAAAACGAAAAACAGCAGTGCAAAACGCTTCAGTCGCAACCCCTAGAGGCAAGCACCACAGTAAACAACTATGCAGGATGCTGGACATCGTAAAGTAGTGGCCTTTTAAATACAGAAAACTAGTGTTGAAACATTTTGCACAGCTCTGATTCCAGTGGCATGACTGAGTTCCTCAGTGTTCTTCTTTGTCTCGGCCTCTCTTTTCCTTTTCGTCTTGCAGAGCGGTGCCCAGCTTCTTGATGAGTACTGACAGCACCTTGTCCAGTGGGTCCATCACACCCCTCTGCAGCCATTTGGGAATTGTAGTCCTGGCATGGTGGAAGCCCAGTTTCTGTAAGATGTAGTCCACGCCAACTGGGTCGATCTTCCGACCCGTCCAGGAGATGAGCCTGAAGGTAGAGGTGAAGTTTAAGCATTGCTAAAGGTGCATGAAAAGACTCCCTGTTGCTGCACGTCTCTTTCCATTAAAGGATTTGCTTCTTCCTTTTGAATCTCAGAGGGGAAGCTGTTGCTTTGTACAAACATATTTCATATAAAGATTCAAAAATATTCCTTTTTTTAAATTAAAATCTTTGTTCTTTCCTGGATTAATGAAGCAAAGTCTTTGTGAAGGGACTAAGATGCTTCATTTATTTAGTGTTTGTGCTGCATTTGTACAAATTCACAAAAGACTAACGATTAGTAATTATGAACTAGCATCTGAAAAAGGCTAAGGGGGTTAATAAGAGATACTGCACTGCAAAGTTATTGCTCATCCTGTACA